GGCGTTATATCGTTGGCAGTAGTTGTCTCTTCGACATTACCCTCTCAAACGAACCCTATCAATATTCGCTACATTACTACCTCATACCCACGCCGCTTCAGAATTATTCTTTGCAACAATGAAGATAAAGCTAACACTGACAAGAATTAGTATTATAAGAAGTTGGTGTAAAAGTGTTACTTTCTGTCTTATTGCACTGCCTAGAACCGTTGTAATGAAATGACACTTTTAGTTGGTGCATAAAGTTTGGTGATAATAAAAAAAAACCTCACCTGCGCAAGTTCATTAACTTTCAGATCACTGATGTCATGACGCATGCTGTCCTGCGGCACCCTTATTGACTTTACTAAATCAGCAACCAGAGCATTGGGATACTGAGGTCGTTTGGAAGATGTTGTTGGTACATTTGCTACCAGAACAATTATATTATTGTCATATATTTTCCAATCCTGCAAAGACGTTATGAATGATCTTCCCAGAAAGTATGACATTTTCATATTTCATATTTGTTCAAAAACTGCTAGTCTGAAACAAGACTCAATATGAATGCATAATAAGATCAAATTAAATTTGCTCGTATGAACTTCTTTTTGGAATTAAGTTTTTTTCCTTTCCTTCAACAAGATTGGCTGACAGCTTATTGGCACAGGTAACAAGACCATATACTTTTAAAATGTAGTACTTTTCGAAACAAATTTCATATTGGGAAAATGAGAGAGGCAAGAGTTCTTTTGGTTTGTTAGGATATGAGACTCAAAAATCTTTTGAACAAGACTTCCACAAATTAACTTCAGGTCAATTCATCATCATATAGTTTCCAACAAACCACATGAAGGTAGCTGTCACATTTTCTCACTCCACTGAGATTTAGTTAAAACCAACATTCAAAGTTGTTTTCAAATTGCTTGCATTCACATTTATTGTATGTCCATTATGAATGATGCTCAACTGCGACATCGGTATATCATTCAAGACAGAAATTTCAAATTTGCAAAGCGCCAAAAAATTTTCCATTTCCATATCGCCGTTTACTTCTAATGGAAATACATTTGCACCAGTCAAATCGCATGCCACTGTGACCTTCATTCCAGGTAGACGCAGAGAGGCACACCCGTCACTTCTTAATATATTCGATTCGTAAGACTGAAATTTTGAATGACTGAATTTTTGTTTCCAAAAATTTCCGAATTAGAAAAAGATCTGCTACGCTAGCAAGTAATTATGTTCGGAAATGTTTATTAAATTGGTGAGGACGCACTTGTGGTAAATGATAGGTAATAATGAACTTCTAACAATTATATTTATCAAAAGTACAAAACAAAAGTGAATCGCAATTCAATAAATTAGAAAGGACATGAAGGACCTTCCATTAAGCTTGTTGGAGTCAAAATTCCACCTTAGTAGAAATAAAAAACTAAGCAATAATAGTTAGATAACAGTCGTTCCTCATAACTAATTTGTTAGTTTATTAGAAGTAAGAAATTAAAACATATTTTAGAACAATCGAAAAAAGCTCATAGTGAGTATACTCAATCAAGGGAGATTATTTTATTGTACAAGAATTCTGCGACTCCCATCCGGTTTTCATGAGAGTCACACGGTCTTTCAGTTTTATCAAGTAAGCTGTAGTCCACCGAGGAAATCCTGTCTGATGCAAATTCTATTTAGATAACCAACCGGTCAGTTTAACTAGGCATAGAAAAAGCGTGAGGCGGTATGAAGCCGACGTTAGTCAAAAGATTTTCCAAACGTATCTGATATACAATTAAAATTTAATTTCAGAGAGAGAGAAGTATGGATAGTGAACAGATGAACATATTCATTTAAAGAATGATGAGGAAGGAGCTTACTGAGAACTCCTTATTATTAGTAAGGATAACTTATTAATAAACGATGCGGCGTTAAAATCACGTCTCAACATACAGCAAGGATTGTATTTGGTAGATAATTTGCACCAAACTACGCAGTTGAGATCAGTTGATAACTTTGTTTAATACTAAATATGAGACGTATATGAGATTTAATGAGATTTAAACAAGGCGGATTTGTTCACAAGCTTCCTACCGATAACCTGCCTAATGAATGGTACTTATTCACTTCAGATAACAGAAGCTGACGTCGATGTGATATGTACTATACTTATATTAGTTATTCATTTCATAGACTACTGGATTCAGCGGGAAATACGATTTTTCAAAAGATGATATATTGCTTGATTGCCAGACTTCAGACTCCTTGTACTTCAGGAATAATTACGACTCATTTTGTTAGATTTGCATAACCAAATTAAATTTGTAAGGTGTTGGATTTGCTAATACTGAATAATTTGAATGCACAAATCTTCTCAGAATTTCGAAAAATTCGCATATTAAAGCAAGAAAAAAACGAAATATTTACATGATAGCCAAGACAGTATTCGAATGGTTTAACATGATTTTTTTGATTTTGAATGCGAAAATACAGCCTGGAAGTTACTGCAATTCATTTGATCGATTATATAAATCTTTTCCCATAATGATAACATGCTTCTCCTAATAATGGCAATACTAAATATCCGTATAAATGTTCAATAATTTTTGACAAATTACATTTGCAGTATGAATTAAGGACAGATATGCGAACTGAAAACTTATTGAGAAAGTCCCAATAAAATTATCAATAGTGGTTACTATGTTCGTAGTAATTCTCCGACAAGCTTATGGGATTGATAATAGTTACACAATGATCACATAACTGATGTAATTAGTAGCCCAATAGAACTAATTACATCAGGAATTAGGAAAGTAAGGGAATTTCCATGTAGATTAACTAAGAATGAGCAAAACATCCTGTTTATACTGTCCTCAAACCATTTCATCCTTTACTTCTGCTAATACTTTACTGGAGAGCAACTTTCTAGATATCTTATCAATATGTCGGCATCAAAAAACAATGCATTCATTCAAGTCATTAAAAGAATCTCCATCTTTAACAATTATTTACTTTTGGGATCATGTTCATAATGATCTAGGAAGATTGACAGAACAATAATGATACTGTAGGAGTTAAATCATCAACAACACAACGGAAGTGCTTATGATTGTCCACTTAATGAGAGGCGTTTGTTACAACATCGTTGGAAGAAAATTGGAAAAATTCAAAAAGGATTTATAGATTCACGAAATTCCATAACCAGTGAAAGAAAAACAATGAATGGCCACAGAATAGTCGTTGTACTATTTGCAAATTGACAACAAGTATTGAACACAATTTATTGATAGATGAATGAGATTAAGCAGTATTTCAAAATGCAACAAGAATTATGAAACTTCGTGCTTTTTGAGTGGCTAATTTAACGAATAACATAAACAAATTGGGATCTGAAGATAGCTAACGCTTTATGATTATGATGGCAACGAAAAAACAATTGCCACTCTCTGTTCCCATGGGAATAATTTCAAACCGCTACAAAATGACAGGTAAGACCTCTTTATACGGAATGAACAACTTCGTTGAACACCAATCAGTAATCTAAAAAAAAAAACCAGAAGGTGAGGGATGAAATGAAGCAAAGATTTGCAAAGTTTAACTTCGACTTCATTTTTCATCAAAAATCACAAGAAATGAATGGTTACGAACCATTTTACTATTTCTATCTATCCAGAATTTAAGGTACAGAATGACATCTGAATGATTTCAAAAGACATATATAATGACACGATTCATAGATGCATGAAGGAGGAACAGCGAGCAAGAAAATCAATGAGGTCAAGGGGTTAAGTCATCAGCTAAACACACACTCGACAGGCTGGGAGATGAACAGGAAGTAACTAAGAGGAGAGAACAGAATATACACGAACATCGAACCCCAGGTTTGTCCAACAGTTCAACCCTTCCGGTTGACAGCTCAGTCCAACCCAACCACTGCACCTTCACCCCTTGTGGGACCGTTATTTTCGCATTGCCTCGTTCCATATCTTGTCAATGCCAAGTCACTATAGTTGACTATAACAGAAAGTGCGGATGAATCTCTTTCGTCACTTGTTGCTGCTTGTTGTATTGTCTCGGAACATTTTTCCGATGTATCTTTCCGCCACTCCTTATTATTATCGTTGGCTATATATTTTGTTGTCTTTGGCTGTAATGAACTATTTGCGGAATAGAGAGGAGTGATGCATAGCAACTGGATGTTCTACCTCAAATACATTTCCATCATGTCCTCTTGTAGATCTTTTGCACTCTTCCCACACTTGCTAACTTAATTTCTCTTAATCTTATCAGTTCCCGTTACCAGGCTTCAATTCACAAGATTAAAAAAGATGAAAATAAAAATGAATACCTACACCTGAATTGCGATGATTATAGAAATTCATTCTTTCTTCTCTTTCAGGACCAAAATAAGAACAGCGCTATTATGGAGAGTCTAAAATAATAACGTAAGCTATTATGGAGAGTTTATACCATGAAACAAATAGTCTGTTGCAACAAACACACTTTGATTTGGGTACTTTGGAAGGCATGCGAAATGAAAGTGATGCTCAGAAAATTTTTCAAAATATTTACGAGCGGTTAAAGTAAGCTTCGTTTCCATTTCTGATCTTTCCATAAAGTATACAAAATTGTCGTACTTTAATGCGACATTTCAGATGTTATAATTTAATTAATTGGGCATTAATCTTGAAGAGTTGAAGAATGCTTTGAGGGAATATTACTGAGTGGCTTAGTCCAACCAGTTGGGAGTTGACAATTTCCTTTCTACACGAATAATAAATTTGACGTGGGCGGGGAGAATAAGAAAAGAATTTTTAATAATTATTTTCGATACTTTGAACCTTGATCAAATAGTTTATGATTGGTCGGCAAAATCTTGAAAATCTTTTTTGTTTTCAATTTCAAATTTAATCCTTCGAATTTAGTCATAACATGCAGGCAGATTGATGGAAATTGTGAACGTCTAGATGTATTTGTCAGTAAGGAACCGCCACATCGTCGACGCACTGTTAAATATAAAGTGGATCAGTTGAAATTCGATTGTCATTCACTGCAGTCGACGGTTGACAGTATGCACATGCGTATGACCAGTAAATGGAGGGCTATTGCTGAAAGAGAAGAACTTCTTACCCAAAGGTATTTCAAGTTTATGAAGAGATCGAGAAGGGTTTTTTATGGAAAAGTTTGCAGACGCAACTGGATTTTTATTTTTTCGGCTTAATTTTGTTAATGTAGTCTATTAATTTATAATTTCAATGTCTGATTTGTCTTGTTTCAATTACAACAGACAGATTGGTAGTATGCATTCACTTATACAGTATTAGGTTCCGTCCAAATGACACAACACATGTTCCAATCGAAGAATACGAATTGTTTTTCCATGATCGTTTACATTCCTCGCACAATGCTGTCGATGAACTTATTAGCCACGGAAGCGCGATACTGGAACAGATTCGTTTACAAGGAATAGGCTTGAGGGGAATCAAGCGTAAAGTTCTAGATATCGGACAAACGGTACGCAATCCTTATTATCCGAATTTGTAGAATTTTAAATAACATTTAAGTGACACTAGGTTGGTTGGTATCTGTACTTCTTGATGGAAGAGAAAATTCACTGTAAAATTCTCTGTATACCATAACATATAGAAGTATTTGATAGGTTTTACACCCAAAGAATTATATTAATCGAAAGGAAATAAATGCTTCTAGCGAACATGAAATTTACTAAATGTAGTATATTTATACGATTTTCTGTCATTCATGTTGCATTAAGGCTTAAATGCAATGTGTAATCATTGCTCATTTTAGCTTGGTTTATCATCGACAACGTTACAAATGATGGAAAGACGACTTAGTGGAGATTGGATTATTTTCTATGTAGGTTGCATGGCTTTCATCGTTTCCATGTATGTTTTTTATCGATTTTGGAAAAGTTAAGTGTTTTTTTAAGCTAGCATTCTTTTTTGGAACAATCCTTAAAGGGCAATATTTTTTTGACTATTTTCCCTGAGAAATTTTCCGAAATTACTAAACAATTCAGCGACTAGATGGAGTTATTGACGTTTGTTTTTCACTATTTTATTTTGCTTCGATTTTGGATGCATAAGTGGTTCTTTTTGTAATGTGATGGGTATCATCAACTCCTAGCTTTTATTCAAATTTTTAACCGAACTTTATAAGTTGTCTAGGAAATGCTTCCCCATTAGAATTTTCCGCAAATGATCTTTTGATTGTTTCTAACCTTTTTATAAAATAGAATTTACACCACTCTCTGTTGTTCTTTCTATTCTTTTAGTTGAAGCCTGTTATTTGAAATTTCTTATTGTATTAAAAAATTTCGTACTGGATTAAGAACTGTGTCTTTCGAAGTTTGTTTTTGGATTTTTAACACTTGAAATATTGTTTTCGTTACATTGTATTGAGATTTATATGACTGTTGTACTTTTTCATTTATTAAATTTTGAAAATGCTAGGTTGGTGAAATTTATTCTTAGCGATTTATTAGCACAAAATAACTCTAACGGTGATTTTAAAGAACTGCTTCCTATTTAGCATTTTAAAATCAGACTTACCTAGAAATAAATTTCGCTTTATTTTCATGGTGAAGTCCTTTATAAACTTCCATAATTCATCTTTAGATTTTGTTTCCTGACCTTCAAAGCAGTCCAAAAAATTGGTCTTCTGATGAAATATTAGTAAATGCCTTCCAATGAAATATAGTACAGTCTATTATTTTTACTAAATTATTTATACAATAAGTCAGACTGCTGTCTTATTCATCTAGTTTCCTAATGATTCAGTCCAATGTCTTTATATCACTAATCACTAGTTCGTTTCCTTTTAGCAGTAATCACGTACTCTGTTTATTCATCGTTTACATCGAAGAAAAAAGAATTAGATTGTAGAATTAGACATGACTGTTTTGTGTTGTTAATTACATTCAGGTGTTATTTTCCTTTTTTCATTCATGAATAGTTGCTCGATCTCTTCAATGCGTTTTCCGCGGGTTTCCGGTGCAAAAAAGTAGAAGATGATGAAACCAGTGAATGAAATGCCGCCATACAAAAAGAACGCACCTGAAATTATGATGGTAAATATGAAGGTGCTCTGCATTTTTCAGCATTCTGCCTTTTCTTAATCTCTACACACCTTCAGAATGACTTTTATTCTTATGATAGCCTCGTGCGGCAGAGCATGTTCTTATTTTTGCAGCATAATCCTTTTCTTTTTGTTAAGTAGCATACAGATGATTTGGTCATCAATTGTTAAGAAAAAAAGTTTTTTAAAAAATGCGGAAATCGCCAGAACCATATTTGGTGATAGCTTGACTTAAGCTGAGGTATGTTAACGACATCAAAAGATTGAAAGTCCAATTTGTAAATGTGGATAAAGCAACGCATGTGCCTCTCGCCCAGATTGGATAAACCTCAGCATTGAAAACCCATGGGATTGGACCCATACCTGAAATATTGGTGATTTTGGAGGAATGATCAAGAAATTCCTTTCATAATTTGTAAGAAACTTGTTTTGATCAATAGAAACTTACCAAACGAATAAACAGATATATAGAGTACCATAATTACTATTGGTAGTGCCGTAAATCGGGTTTTACAAGAAGTATCAGTAAATATGTAATCAGTTGCATTGTTCATACCATCCTGGAAGTGACATGGAATTCGAAAACTTGAAGAAAAATAAAGCATGAGGTAGCTTGATGTAATTATTTCGATTAATCTATTTGGTCGACCAGTTCCTGGTGATAATCGCGTTTCTGGTGATAAAGCATTTCATTCAATCTACCGACTCAGCTATCAGCAGTTCAAGCAGTTTGGCCTAAGTCGGCCAACAAATGACCCTTTTTATTTTCCTGAAGATTTTTAACAATATGTCTTTTCGGCAACAATTTCACTAGAAGTTCCCCATCATAAGATCCAGCTCATAAATTTTAATCGATACCTCAAATTTAAGCTTCGTCTGTTGATTAATTAATCTAGAAAGAAAAGTGAACAACTGCTTCTGTTACTTTATTCTTTACTAGTTTAAATACTGCTTCTGTTACTTTATTCTTTACTAGCCTAAATTTCGGTTAGACTTTATTAATCTAGAAGTAGGCGACTAAGTATTCTTTCCTGATTAAGATATTTATATTGCGATAAATCAAACATATCCGTGAAAACTTAAGGATATTACGAGGATATTTAAAGTTCCTTGTAACTTGCAAAGTAATGATTTGCAGAAATGCAAGCAGGTGCCGCCGGAGGAGACATTACCACTTGCACCTTTACACGTCTTGTTCATTCCATTTATCTCAGTGGATTTTAGAAAATCAATGATAAAAAAAGTCCGCAATACCTTACAGTATCCATAAAGTGAATATTGAGTATTTTGTAAATTAACAGGTAGACACTGCCCAAAACTTGTTGATGATGATGAGGAGTCTTCCGTTAAACCACAATATCCACAATACTCTGATGTCACGCAGTCATCGCAATTCCTGAAAGATTGAATAGACTTCGAATTCTTAGTATTTTGTACTACTACCTCGTTTACTCCGAAGTGATTCGAATTGGTAAAAAGACTCCATGAAAATAATATCAATTCTGAACACAAAGCGCACATCTAAATATCATTATCCGAAGCATTGCATCATGGCATTTATGGATGTGCAGAATGCCATTTCAGCAAATGTTTTCTATAGTCTAGTTAAAAAACTGAAAAATTTTAAAGCTCACCTGAAGCTAGCGCATAGCTCTAGTAGTTCCTTATTGGTGTTGACAGAATTCATATCTATACCGATATAGGCCTGCGCTTAAAAAGGTTAGAGTTGTGAAAAAGAATAAGAGAAATTGCTTCATAACTAAATTCTGCTTAAATAATAACATTTTAGAAGCAAAGTGTTCCGTGATTCAACAAGTTCTCTTATTTCGATCCACTGGAAAATCTTCATAAAAAGCTTAATTGCCTAGCGCTAATAACACTAACGGTAACTACATAATCTGCTACACATTTCAATATGATCATTACAGCAACTTATTAACGATGCCAGTTGTAAAGAACTTTTCCTGACCACTGTATCTGCATTATCACTTACCAGAATCAATTTTTGTGGAATCATAATTGATAAGGATAAATGCACCACCCATCATACACAGTGTAACAACAACACCGATCAGAGAGGACAGTACAAGAGTACGCCTTCCAAGTCGCTCGATCAAGTTCAGTGGCAGTATTGTCCCTACTGCTTGTACAGCTGCAAAATTTTAATCTTTATTTTTTTGAAAAGAATGAGAGAAAAAAAACATAAAGTTCAGTTTTATAAACTTTAGCAATTGCTGGATTTTTTTCTGAAACGATATTATCAGAATATAGTCGGTTAATAAATTACTTGAAAGAAGAAAATATTTACTTGAAATACCACATGAAATCCAAATTGTAGTGATTTTATCGTGCACGCCAGCAGAGCGAATGATGGTGCTGGTGTAATATCTTAAATTTATAAATAATTTTCTATTTCATCTTCATAAACTCAAATTCACTTCATACTCTAAAAGATGCTTACCTAAATCAAAACGATAACAAAGTAAGATTCATATTCTCATAAGAATGATTGACAAGGATGAACGTACCACTCATCGTTTATATCTCAAAAACAAAAAACAGGTAATACCGCTAACATTAAAATGGCATGTCTTGAAGCACTGGGATAGTAAGCTAGCTAAAATCGTTCTACTTAAGAAAATGATTATCAAATTTCTAACAATTATAATTTTAAAGAAAAGAATTACAAAATAGTATTAATTCCAGCGAGCTGTTGAAACATTTGCAAAGCACAGCCGAGCATCAGAGCTTTCCGCACATGCGTCGTTCTTAGCACCCTACATAGGACGAATTCATCCCCTATCAATAAACTATCAAATTCGAAAAATTTCTAAATTTGATTAGCAGACAGTTTCACACAGCTTCTGATAACTTAATGAATATCAATAAGTGGAATTCGTAAAGAAAAGTTAAGGATACTGAAGAACACTACCTGCCCATGCTAAGCAAGCAGAATTCAATTACTTGCCTAAGGTTCGGAAAAAATTTAATTTACATTGGAGAAATGCTAACCAATGATCTGACTGAAAAAGAAATGTGACATAACAATTTAATTAAACAATTTATTAAGCCTCTGCATTTACCGTTTTTCTGACGAAACATTGCTTCACGTTGCATTTCACGTGTTACTTCACCCATCTCATAAGCAATCCATTCCTTATCATTACCATATAATCGATGTAACACTTCCTGTGCTTCTTTCTCATGCCCATGACTGATTAGATAACGCGGTGTTTCTGGCAGGAAGAGAAAGCCAACTAGCTTAAAACAGTACTGAATTCATGTTTATTACTTTAACGAATGACAGAGATGTACTGTAAACAATGTCGCTCTGCTTCTTTAATTTCGAATTTAATTTAAGATTTTAAAAGTCTTTAAATCTTATTAACTTATTTCTGAAGATTTTCAACTCGCAAAAAGTGGAAACTATGAACCTATTTGACATCTCAGAAACTCCTTTGACAATAACATTACTTGCTTTATGAAGTCACAAAACAATATCTTATTTCAAGCAAATCAAAAACTTTGGAAGAAAGTAAAGATGACAGCACTTGCACTAAGGCCGGTACTGCAGCAAATGCGAACATCAAGCGCCAACCAATATTGACTGGATCATAATGAGCAAACCATGCCGCTACAGCATTGGCAACTGTAAATCCGAATGCTACCATGAACTGATAAATTGTTACCAATTTCCCACGTACTCTTGCGGGTGCTCCTTCACTTATATACACGGGTACAACCATGGATGCAAATCCTGTAATTGTGTACAAACGTAAAGAGTGATATCATGATTGTGTACAAATTCATGATAGCTTACAATGATAAGCCTTGTAATTTTAACCTAGCATTTCTCTCTCAATGACCAGCTTTCGTTGGTTCCAGATAATATTTAGCACTTCCTAATATTTCATTTATCAAATTTTGCAGATTAAAATGGAATTTAAAATATTCAACTGATACCAATAGCAATTCCCAGCAATATACGCCCAATAAGTAATGTCCAACGGTCGAATGCAACACCACATATAATAGCGCCAGCGATGAAGAATATAGTAGCCGATACTATCACTTTTCGACGACCGAATTTATCGCTACTTTTACCTATGATTTGATGACTTTAAGTAAGGTTACAAGTTTGTTATTTCATCAAATTCAAGTGATTTCTAAACTACTGAAATGAACTAGATCTAAATAATTCCTAATGCGCTTTATATAAAAGCCAGGCTAAAATTTGATGGCAAGTGTGGCATAGTTACGGCTGGACGAAGAAATCTAAGGATAGCTTGTTGGAATGTAAAGAAGCTTTCAAATGTTTGCCGAAATGGAAATGAAGATTTCAAATCATTGTCCCAGAAGCTCAGTCACCCATTGATTTAATACTTCCGAGACATTGGCACTTGCACACCTTGTGCAATGTGCAATGTGTCCTAACATCGCTATCAACTGATCGTGACGATCACTTTCTCTTCCGAGATACAAAAAAAAACATTTCGAATGGTTTAAAAATTGAAATTCAAAAGGGATTTCAATTACCTGCGGTTAGAGCAGCAATACCTGCCATCCCGGATGTTATACTGATTATAACCTCCTGCCAAACAGTTGATAAACCATCCATATATTTATTATGTGGCAAATATAGCATTATGCTGAAAAGTAGTTTAGCTTCCGTTAAACTAAAAGAAAAAACACCAAAACTTTTCTTAATTATAATTTTTACGGGATTTAACGAAGACCTTTGATAACAATCTGCATTTGAAAATCAAATATGAAATTAAAATTTAATTGCACTAACACTCTGATCTGTTAGGAAAACTAGAAATAAAAAATTAAGCAAGAGAAGATATTGAAGAGAACAAAATCCAGTCAAGATATCATTACTTACCCGGAAACAATACCAGTATCATAGCCAAATAATAAGCCGCCTATTGCGGCCATCAAGGTTAAAAGATAAACATATGCATTTGCTTTTGCATGTTTCCTTGGGTCTTGCTGTGTTTGATGGTTATTCTTGGCCTAAAAAATAGTTTCCTTATACAGTAACTACTGGAATAATGGCAATGTTTATGTGATACGATATCGGCCAAATGATCTTTAAAGTTGTCCAAAATTGATCCCTTTTAATCCTTTTATCATTTCATTATATTTCCCGGATTTCATCCTTACACTGTTTTGAACCTATAAGTTAAGATCTTGATGTATCGCTAAAACAAATCTGCCTCGGACAAATTAGACGAACGAGAGGAAGAATTGAGAACTCTTGATCAAACGAGAATCTTTTGCAGTGTTTTAACATCCTGTTTTTGTTTTATTTTTCATCTTTCAATAAAGAAGGTGACTGTATTTTGCAGAAATTTGATGAAAATGATTAGTGGCTTCTTTTTTTATTCAATTGCTACTTTTTTTTCTTTAGATTAGCTGCAGTCTAGATTTCAGTCTATAAGAGTCCGACCTTGAATAAGATATATTCAATGTAATTACGAATTTGACAGGCATTGTTCTTTTAGCAATATTACTTCTAAAAATTGTTCTTAGTGGAGCAAAGAATATTTAAAAAATAGAATAAAATATATATATAAAATAGAATAAAATATATATATATACTTGAATCGAATGCTAAATCAAATGCGAAAATTTAAAAGCTATTTGTATTGTAAACACCTTGTATAGAAATGAATTTAGAATTGTGCAGCAAAATCAAAGTAGATCCAAACATAAATTTAATCATGAAAGCTTAAAAGTCTTCCATTTTAAAAGATCTGAATTTTTTAAAACTGTCAGAAAACACAGATGTAAAGTTTAAAATTTTTTAAACTCTGATTACATTTAAATTAATTTTACATTAACAAGAAAGCTTACAATTCTGATATAGACCATCGGTAATTCTTGCTTGCTCGGAAGATTCCTGGAAACGGAAATAGAATATTATTTGACTAGGAAAAAATTCCAATGCAAATTTAATAAGGCATATAGAGGAAGGCGGCATTATCAAAAAACAATCAAGGAGAACGAAGGAAATTTTGAAATACAATGCCGAAATGGATTGGCCGTATGAAAATTATATTTACATCGCTGTAGAAAAAAAGAACTTTCACAACATTGCAGTAAAGTACACACTGATAGAAACAGCATTTGTGTAAAGGGAGTGACATCGACGTTTTAATAAATTAAAAAAAAATGGACGGAGAAATTCAGCTACCCCTCAGAAATAAATTCAACTGTCAATACCGAATGTCAAATCATTCGGTATTGATAGTTGAATCATTCGGTATTGACAGTCGGTCGGTTTTGAGTGACCATTCCTCTATAGGATATGGCTTCTTAATAGTGTTACTTTAGTTGTACCATAGCCATTTTTCACTTACGAAGAAAAAGGAAAATATTGTCCGACACTCTTGAAATAGGAAGGAAGGTCATGCAGTGAGAGCAATAATTTAAGTTGTTAACCATTTAAAAGATTAATGGATCTATAATTTTACACTGTTTTGCAAATGTATCATAATGTTACCATTGACAAAGGTCTAACATACTTTCTAAATTTTATCAAAAAAAAAATTTTTTTTCGGGAAATATTTCAAATAATTATTCTAGAATCCTTGCTACGTCTAGAGTACCACTGTGCTAAATATTTTAAAAAATTTAAAGTAACATGAAAAGACAGCGTCGTATTAAAAAATAGAACCAATGATTCCGTAAAAAAATATTTAATTGAATATGAAAGTGGAAAGTAAAGATAAGGATTTAAAAACAGTGCTGTACATGCATACCAAACTTAAAAACAAAGGCTAGTTCTGGATAGAAGCAAAGATTTTGTGGAGCACAGGTATATAAAAACGCGTAATTTTGCTGATTTGGTTATTTTTAGGCCAATCACAGACCTTGTGAAATTTATTGCGGAGAAAATGGAATAAACCAAATGGTCAGGATATCATTTTACGCTACTACAATAAATCGTTTCAAGCGTACTCTCGACGATGTACTCCGTTATACATGGACAAATTTAGCAAACTGCAAAAAGTGATCGCGGCCATTGATTTCCACCAACTACTGTTATTTCAGATTAACTGATTTATCCATAAAACGATCACCGAGTTCATGAGAATGGCACTTATGAGGAAAGTTATGATTCATAATTTCTATGTAAAACAGTGGAAAAATTATTGATTGTGGCTACGGCTATGTTTAAGTTTAGGAGTCACTATATCTAAGTAAATAATGAGTCTTTTCTTTTCGATGAGTTGCAACCTATTTCGATTTTGATCAAATATGCCAGAGTAATAATCAGCAAATGGCTGTAGACCGTAAAGCGGCTAATGGAAAGCTGACCTTTCTTCACTGTTTTAAAAGAGCAAAACCGCTCGATTTCTTGAAATAACTGTAAATCTGTAACAACGTATTCATTGAAAGTTACTACAAATCACTCAGTAATGTTATTTGATGAAACTACGGCGACAAAATGACAATAATAATAGATTCTAGTACCCGCTGATGACACATGCTGCTGACATATACATGCTCTTCTTTCTCATTTGTTCAAAGCGAATGTTAGACCCATTTGTTTGCCATTCATCATAGGCAAATATGTGACAATGGCAATGAAATACTGATTCCAAACTGCTTGTAAAGTTCAACGATTGATATGACTGACAAGAAAGTTGCAATTAGAGGTCGAACACTCCATGGTAATTATGCTTTTCTGCTCTCGGAGTTTGAGATAATGAACTAATTTGGGAAATTAGCACAAAAAGTAGACTGATGACCTGCCAGACAACCTCTTAGGAAGTTATAGAAAAATGAAAGCGGACAGATGGATAATCCATTATCTGCAATGATACGCAACAAGGTCATGACCTCTCCTTTCCTAGTTCTGGGATTTTTCATGTTAAATCTTTTATTCATATTGATATATAAGAAATATTTGGCCAGTTTTGCGAAACACAAGCTTCGTTATTAGTTGTTTGGTTTTCTTTGAAATGGGATAAGTTCTGATAGTATTTGACAAATTCAATTCCGGCATACGTAACTTTATCCATTTGATAAGACTGACGAGTGAATGACTCATTTAATGTTTACAATATGTAGAGAACAATGCTTATGAAAAATTTTTGTTTTACTACCGAAATAAGATTGCATAATTTTGGTGGGCAAAGTGAGATTGAAGAAAGGAAAGGACAAATATAAATTTTGCAGGTTTGGAAAGAGACAGATTTACTCCTCCTATGATCGTCCATTGTCTCTTTCTAGCAATGTATAATTTTTTATTATAAATTGGTTCCAGCTTTTTTTTTCCAGCTTTTTTTTATTGGTTCCAGCTATAATTTCTTGGATCTTCCGTTTTTTGGACATTAAGGATACATTTGATGAAATCAGACAGTCAACATCTACATTAGATTGTTAAAAAAAATGATAATTTATTGATAGTTGAAGTTACAGTTGATAATAGGCATAACATAATTGTTTTTAATTTCCGAAGTGCCAAATATTGTTCGAATAATATCAGTTCTGACACGCTATTCAAATTTCTGGAAAAATTTCACTACTCTTGAAGCTACATTAGTTTATCTTTAGAGAAATCAAGTTTTCTGACCTACAGAGACAAGTGAAGGTTATTTGACACTTCCACTAAATATCCCTTTAGTTTTCTTTCTGCATCAGCATTAGTTACTACATAACTTGGAAATTTTGAAATTTGCTTTCTAATTTTGATTAATTTCAAGAAACTGATAAATTTCTTTACAGAATAAAACTAGAAAAGAGATATACATTGATTTTGTTCGATACTATTTAAAAACTATTGGTAATGTTAACTTTTCTAACCTAAATTTTCATCATAATTTGGAAACAATCATTTCAGGGTGTGTTTACACGATCAGGTGCACTGCGAGGAACTTTCTCGAATGGCCATTTCCCTTCTTTATAATAGCAATAAACAAAAGTTGCAATAACAGCTGTTGCAGTTACCGCTAACATTACCGTACACACGTGCTTTGCGTTTTTCTGAAGTATTTGATAGAAATTTAAACAATTTTAACAATAGATTGCATATTCCTCATATGAAAGATTCTCAAATTTGTTAATAATTAATTTAGAGCTATTGCAAAATCATTTGAACGTAATATAGATTGTTCCCTGGCTTTACAAGAATTAATTTCCGCTGACATAAAAGAAATACTTTTCCACTAATTAAAAGGTAGGAGATACATTTAGTCCCACATTTCATCATGTTATCTTTGAAAGCAGCAACCTATGAAGGAAGGAAAGATAGGATATGGGCAGGACGAGGGAATGATGGAAATTCATTTGGACTTGGGATAACCACCAACATCAGTTGTCATTAGGCCGGCTCCTATGATTGTAAGAAGAACAATGACATATACTGGCATTTGAAAACATTTTATTTCCTAGATGCTGTTATTCTCGACTGGTATTTGCCGCATTTTCGGTTGCAATTTAGTAGAAGTTCGTTCGACAACACCACGAAAAACAGAAACAAGTTCAGAGAATTTAAATTTAGAAATACAAAATGCAACACGCAACCACAAGAGATTTTTCTTTTACTGAGCATTATGACTATGCTTAGGGCTGAGAGAATCACGCACTTTCACGAAGCAAACCACTGCTGAATTCATTGTAGGAAAATTAACTGATAAGTTGCAATGTTTTCCATCACTATCATATTCATCATAATTTCTGTATAATTCATAATTCTAACGCTTATCTTTTCTTAGCACATATAATCTGCAAGAAAATTCCTTTGACCTTGAGTAAATATAAGTCTTGCGTCGTGTGTTTTTTGAATAACTCTATTCCAAACTTTCCTCCTATAGAATAAACTTTCTGCACTTGAAATGATAATGTTTATACTGAGATACAAAAATAATAAAAACAGTATATATATCATATAAAATAAACCTAATAACCATGGATCAAACAATCAGCGATAACTAATAGCACGTCAATTCTGAAGCATATTAAAAGACAAATAAAATTTTTGAAGATGAACGAAATAATGAACCAGCAAATTAAACGGCATTGAGGAAAACTGAAATCATGAACAGAACCGATGAAAGCTAAAGTTAACCCGCCTACTTTTTAACAGTTTACATATGACGAGTTAAATTATCAGTAAAAAATGCACAAGGACTGAAAACTCACTCCCACCTGTTCCTTCGTATAATTGACGTAAAATCCAATCGTTCTGCAAGCTCATCGTAGTTGCCCAATGCAAACAGAACTACGACATTTATTTGAAGAAAACCAATCCTTTTTTACTCATTTTAAATTGAGTGCTACAATAACAGAAATGAATACAAGTCCAAGACTTGCGAATGAAAAGGGCTTGGTCTAGCTGAAGATTATAATCTCAAAAAATGTTTACAAGGAGGGACGAAGGACAGGAGAAAGACATCTTTACACTTCCCCAAATACCTCTTGAGCAAAAAGCCGGGAAAACAAATGCTGAAAAGCTATGCTGGTTAAAAGTTATCAAATTTTCAATCTAAAAAGGCTAGAGAAACAAAAATGAAATTGTTTCGTTAAGATTTTTCAGATATACATCGTAATGTAAGTAAAGAAGCATCGAAGAGAAAACGAAAATTATGCGTATCTGTCATCAATACATACACCAATTAAATTCTATCTCTCTCTATCAAACAAAGCAGAAATCACCCACCACATAGATGCATTTCAGTAAACTGAGCGACTATTTAGTTCTATTTTTTTTAATAGTCACTATTCTACTAATTGTGCTATATATTTTTCTGAGTACAGAAAAAACTTTCCCCTATCCAGTAATTTTTATCATAAAGCATTGAAATGTGGAATGAAACCCAATATGTCATATTATATATCATTCATCTAATGAAAAGTTATTACAGCAATAAATTCTTGAAGATTCTCATTTTCGTCAAAAAAAAATCCACTGTCTTCCTAGTTCTAGCTGGCCCATAATGTAAAAGATAGAAGTGATGATGGTATTAGTGATAATATAGGTAAAACAAAACAGCAGTAACAATACACAAGGCATTCCATTAACAAGTTGTGAGGAAAAATGAAACTTCCTCAGTTTAAAATCGTAAATAAAATCCCAACAAACTTGCAAGCCTCCAGAGCATTTACCAGTTTGATAACCCAGGTTTATTCAGCGTCATAAAGTAGATCTGACATGCGCCTCCTCCTTTTGCACTCGAAAAGAACACCTGAACGAAATGAATGGTCTACAATTACAAACAGCTTATTAGCTTTTTGTACAATCACAGTGGAATGCATACTGAAAGTTCAGATATAACTACTGGGTTTCAAAACATGACTCAAAACATGGTGGTTTCAAACATGTGAGGTGAATGAAGAGCGCATCAAATGTATGCGATGTAGTAAGTAGTAAGTACCTATGCTCATCAGTATGGGCAGAAAGATTTGCTAAGGCTGGCAACTGCGAATTATGCCGGACAAAAATCACAAGATCAGCAGCCAATACCGAACATTCTTGTCCAATAACTCCATTGGGAACTTTAAGAAAATGCCAATAGGGACTTTAAGACAACGAGAAAATGCTTACTTTATCATTGCGCTCACATAAAAATTTCAATTTCTGCGCTTTTTTGTGCATAAAAACACCATCCAAATGGCCGGTATCAACAGATCTGATTTCTATTGCTTTATTACCCCATCCCATTATCTGACCCGTTGAAATATATGCTGAAAAGAATCAGTTAATTTTAAAAAATTTTCAAAGGGAAAATCCATACATCGATTGCAGATTACCTGCGACTGATACGGCTGCTGAAATAAATTGTAGCTTGAATATAGAAAAGTAAATGACGAATACAGTAATAATGTTGCTGCAGTTTGGATCACGAAATTTCAACACACAAACTCAATTCTATCTAAAATTAGTTAGGATTTCACTGCAAATAAAAAAGCATAATTTTTACATTAATTCAACTCACCTACAGAAGAAGGAGTTTCTCCCCACTGCAGAAAAACACTCTTTGTTGCTTTGCCATATGTACTAACATAGACACCTTCGTTATTGTAACACAGCAGCAGCTGCATCCCGTTACTGTTCGGCAGTATTACTATGCAGTGCGGTGTAACTACCGTTTCCGTCTAAAAATAAAAGAATAAATATTTCTCTAGGATGCAAATTACTTTTAAACCATTACCACAATGCCCAGACTAAAATGGGATGTTCGGTAATAACAACCAATCAAAATCTGATAGTTCGGGATTTATTTCACTTCTTAGCACAGAAGTGAACTCCTTTGGTTAAACTGATAATTTTCTTGCTCAAATTCAGCTCCTCAACGTCTTATGAAGCACTGTTCAACATAATCATAACTACCTTACCTGGGGGTAATGCCAAATACTACATCAGTGCAACCGTAACAACTAAAAGTGATATCAAAATATTGAGATATAAAAAATTGTGAGTGCTATGTGTGGTCATAACAATAGAATAATCTTATTAAAATCATCCCCCATAATTGCATAATTGCACTAAGAATTAATTATGAACTGTAAGAAATATACGTTAGCAGGTGTGTAAATGTCATCAATAGAACCGGAATCCAAATCAATGGCATGAAATCCTTCACGAGAACCATAGAGTACTTTTAGACGGGAATTTTTCTCCACCGTCAAATCAACAATAAGCGGTAAATGAATAAGTTGACTGAATGCCTAGAAACATAAAACAAACTTCACAATCACTATCAGAAGAAAAATGACTAGCCAAATTTTGAAAATGTGAAGTTCGAAGTGAAGTTTGAACTTATATGCATCTTGAAGTGTCCAATGTCTTAATGATTTGGCTATTATAATTAAAACCTCTTTTTTAAAATTAATATCCAAATTTCGGTTCGAAAACTTGGGAATTGAAAAAAAAACTTTTCGAAGCTGAAAGTGATTCAGTCCTACTTAGTAAGCTGAACTCCTTCTAGAAAAAAATCTTCAAAAAGTGCACATAAATATAAAAGAATATATTAAAATAAACCTTAAATGCCATAAATTTGTGGTAAGGCTTCGGAGCCCATGCGTAAATCTCAACCGTACTTTCCAGACCCACTACAAGAAATTTGATTCTTTCATAACGGACAATTTTAAAATGCACGGCACCTTGTAGATCACCAACGTTCACCCAGCCATTTCTTTTTTCTAACTGAAGTTTTCAAACTGATTTTTGATGCGATTGCAGGGAGCTATGGAAAACTCACACATTTTTTTAAACAATGTTTTCTGAACTATCAAATACGAGTTATTCTATATACAGAATTTCAAAACATGTCATTGACGTCAGATCACAACCACTGCTAAGAATATCAGTTGAATAATTCCGTGTTAATAATATATAATATATATACTTTTTTTTTTTTTTGAAATATAACAGCTTATGGAGAAGTATCGATTTTATTGAAGGAAGTAGCTACTGTCGCTTTGTACAAAGGGATCAGAATTATAATTTATTATCACAGAATTAACTTACACACATACCTCAACACCATTTACACCTTCAGTTCGGAGAATTTTTTGTTTGAGCCATGATAGGTAATATACACGTATTCGTCGTTTTCGTCCACTTATTGTCACGAGTATATTTTGACCTTCAAGTACTGTCATTTGTTCAAAGCGACGACGTGTTATCAATTGATACACTATAACGGAAATAAAGATAAGCATACATTTATCACTGCTATCATTCAAAAGCAAGCAACCAAATTTCCGCAACTCCATATTCCATCACCAAATTATCGCCAATAAGATCACAACTGGCCTGACCTAAGTGTAATGTGATGGTAAGGCTATTTCGAAAATGCTTATTTTCGACAAATTTTTTGAGTCAGAAATCTCGATTTGAAAACAATAAAAAAAAGACAACATAATTACCTTTGCCTTGACCACTACGATCAAGTAACATAAGACCTGAATCAGTTCCTATCAATAAATTTACTCCCCAAAGTGCTGCACACAGAATCTGAAATGGAAACAAACTGACTCGTAAATTATCGTTAGAAACAGTATCACAATGCAGCTGAACTAATTCAAATGTACGTATTATAATCGTAAACAGGACAACTTTGCTTTGTTAATTGTGAAATTAAATTCAAAACTTGTAATTTCACATGTGACTTAGTCTCAAAGGATTCATATCTTTATATTGGCAGCAATTTTGCAAAGGGTATCGCCATTACGAGGCAAGAAAAAGATTCTGATGCCACATAATGAAAACTGCAAAGGAAATTCTGCATATTACATCGTTAAATCAATCAAATTTAATTTACATGCCACTGTTCTATGAAATGGAATGAGTTGAAGGCATTTTTTAAGCAACGTACATCACCGCTAAATTTTTTTTGTATTTGCGAATTTCAGGAGCATCTCCATCAGAGTGCAAACCATTACTTGTTGCTACCGGATTTGGGTTGACATTCACTTGTACCTAGAAATTTCTAAAAATTTTCAAAACTGATTAAATAGTTCAGACTATGAAAGATACACTAATGTCTTGCGATAACCGTACGTTGGAAAACAACGAAAGACAGCTTTCACTTACTTGACAACTCAACAAGTTTCATTTTCAACCATAAACCTTGAAAATCCTTAAGCATATTATGCAACGAACCTGATTAGTATCTTGCGCTCTTCCTGGTCGATTTACCGTACCAGATCCGCTCATACCCGCACCGAAGTATGCAACGAACGATTTCTCACGATCACGTGCTGCCAGAGATGCTTGGATTCTTGGCAAACTATTCACACCAGAAGGATACTAAAAAGTTGATGGATAGATTAATGTCAAAAAATATTTAAAAAAAAAGGAGAAACACTCCAGGAATAAAAGTCTGCTACGAAAGATGAAAACACTCACAAATACGCTCTTTTACGAGTTTTAGAGTTTTGAATTCAAAAAGTGGAAAATTTACAGAATCTCATGCTTAGGTTAAATTAAACTTTCTCACCCGCATCGTGATACTACGCAAGAAAATGAGAAGGGTACTATTTCTATTTTTCCAGCCACTGGCAATTTAAGAACGGCAAAACTTCAGTTACGCTCAATCAGTCTTCGCATTGAATCGCGTTCTTGAGAGCTCAACTGAATCGTTTGCTTTCACCATGCAATTATTTCAATCCATCGCCTATTTTTTGGTTATTATGACTAAAAGAAACTATCGAATTTCGAAAACTGAAAAAGAGGTGTGCTCCCTAAAAGTCCAACAGGATGACTCAAGACTTCGGTAGGCCTAATCAATTACTTAGCATACAGAGACAAAATTAACTTCAAATATTAAAATGAATCTTCTTGGTGCTTCTAAAAATCGTACTTTAACGGGATTAAATTAAATTCTAAAAAATTTCTTCACCATCAGTACTGCAACGGTACAAACTATCTGATTAGTGATCATCAAAAAATCCCTTTTTAAAAAAACGTGTGAATAAAGTCTTTAACTTATAAATTTGAGCATAAAATCACGAAAAGTTCAAAATTTCTCGTTTGTTTTTCAACAAACATTTCATTTCAATCATCATTATTTGTGCAACGTCATTTGCAAAAATCATCAAATGAATTTTGATATGTTCTTATTTTCGTATTTCACTTGACCCTACAGTCATACCATGATTTTTTCTTTTTTTTTTTGTATGTCACTTTCAATTCGGATAAAATCAAACTGATAAGAGCGTTATTAAGAAAAGTTAGATAAGTTAGCATAGCACAATTGGTATAAATAAAAATCAGAGCTTTTGTTAATGAAAAGAACGCTTTGAACATTATTAGATGAAGAATGCAGAAAAATCGCTATTTTGGAACTTGCAACATTGCTTAACTAAAAAAAAGGAGAAAACAATGAGTATCCCCAATGGAAGGAGTATTTGTTATTCAAAGGATTTATAATAAAAACAAAAAAATAAAAAAATACAAAAAAATAAAAAAATACAACAAGTGCAGAAAAGTACTGACAGCATTCATTAGAAATTTTTATAATTGGCTGAACACAACATCGATGGACCACTATACATGCCACACTAACCAAAGAAGGCACAAAATCAAATCAAAAAGCATCATTCTAATATGGCAAAAGACGAAATGAACTCACGTAAAAGCTTCCAAATAGCGAAGTAATCTGTCGGAAATGTAAGCAGAAAATAAAATGGCAATAAATAAAGAACAATAAATGAATGGCAAATGAAAATTTTTGCTACAGCTAATTATTTAGATTGGCGAGTAAATAAGATGCAGGAAAATGCAACATAAGTGTGTTTCAGTTCTTATGTTAGTGCACGGAGCTGTCGAAATATTGCAACGTTCTAGTTCAAACCTAATACAGCAGAAAAAGGAAATGGAATTAGAAAATTTTTAATAATAAAAAATAATCTGGTGATAATTGTTCTGCAAACCATTCCGATTTTCTATAGTGTCGAAATCGACAAAATGTCGAAAAAAATTATGTCGAAATCCAATTTTCCGCAAAAAATTACCTCATCAGCGCTTTGTGACTCAATACTTGGAGAACTACCGTCTTTTGTAAAGGCGAGGAATGGGGCGGAACGTTCAATTGGAGTTCTCGGTAACAAATCCGGCATGACACCATATCGTTGTCCACTTACTGCTGAACCAGATGTTCGATTGGTGCTTTTGCGAGCGTCAAAGGGTGATGCATCAGGTGATGATCCAGAACCCTCACTACCGCTCGAAACGGAACCAATAATTATCTCGGCTGCTGTTGGTGTCTGCTAAACATTTTAGCCAATTTTCATTACCTATATTAGCAGAAAATTTTTAATTTAAATTTATTTTGAGACTTTCCTCCGGCATGCAGCGTAATTTTTTCGACTTGCATGCATTCCTTTTTCCTAACAGTAGTTTCTTTGCTAAATAGTTACAGCTAAAGCTTTAACAGTGCAACAGGCAAGGTAAATATTAAACTATAAAATTAGCTCATAATATTCCACTTCTCATCTGATGTGCTGTCAGCTGCGAACTATTTCAGAAAATGAAATAATCAAATCTACTGAAAACGTAAAGATACATCGGGCATTGAAGCTGCCTTCACCATTTGAGACTGTCGATTTTTACTCAACGAATCACTATTACTACGACGATGATCTATACTTCCATTTACCTTAAACAGGAAAATTTTTCACCAAATATAAATGTCTCCGTTAGCTAAATAAAAAAGCCAGCAAGGTTGGTCAGTCACAAACTTTTCTTATTTTTAAATGAATGAATAAACGAAGGTTATTTCGTCTTCGTCTAAGTAGAAAAACCTTGTGAGAAGCAAGCAAAGTTCCGTCGTCGCCAGGAATGTCGGATACTGGTGACTGATCCGTTGGTGTTGGCGGTAATGGCTTGTTCGGACCACGAAGTGTCCCTTCTTCTAGCACCTGAAATTTATAGTTCAAATGGGCAATTCTAAAATCAAATTTCGGTTGAAGATGGTCAATTACAGAATGAAAAAAGCTGAGAAACAAAAGGAAAACTTAAATTTTCATGATGTCCGCGAACAGGTTCACTCGCGAGAAGAGTGCCATCAAGAGGAGATCCACCAGCTTCATCCACTGCACTCATTATCGATGTATCACGCGGTGGTGGGGCTGGTGGTGGCGGACTGTAATTACCATTTTGTTGGTGTCTTCCCATTCGTGTTAGCTCATTTGCTAACACATCCAAATCCTGATTCTAAAAAAAAGAAACACTAAAATAACACATCCAAATCTTGATTCTAAAAAAAAGGAACACAAGAAATCAATGTTTATATATATATATATATATATATATATATATATATATATATATATATATATATATATATATATATATATATATATATATA